ACAGTTTAACCAGAAAACCAGTGTGGTCATTGTTTTATTTTTATTAATTTATTTTTTTGAGTAAACTTGCCCGGCACCTCTGCTCTGAACTTTACGTGCAGGGCCGGGTCTTTATCTTCGATGGTAAGTGATGTCACATTGTCAGTGTTGCACAAAAGTGCCAATTTCTCAAACCGTGCAATAATCTGCACGGTGAGGAAATACATTTTTCGAGGTTTGAAACTACCACAGGATTGTTTTTTTCCCCCTAAACTGAGGCAACCTCAATTCCCATGGAGTTATCATCTCAGAACGACATGTATTTGTAACATCACCTGCTTGCCAATACACCAAATAGCATACCACACAGGATACACAGTATGCCTGCAAAAAGTAAAAGTCCAATTTCAGTTTCAGGTAAAGGAGAAACTATTAGTGCCTCATGACTGCTGCACGCCGTCTCTCTCAATAGCTGCTTGTGTTATTTTGTGCCGAGGTTTCGAAGCATGTGGCTGCATGTCTCCGTCATTTAGGAAGAGTGCCCTCTTTGTTTACAAGTGCAGAACATTGTTCAGTTTTTATCCCTAAAACACACAACAATATGTGAAAAATAAGTCGTTTTTGTGGTTCAGATTTGAACTTGTTTGTCTGAAGTGTTGACGTGTTGACCTCCTCTTCTTTGCTGTGTGGACAGAGTGACCCTGTGTTTCCAGAAGGGCGGGGCATGACACATTCATATTCATGAGTCACTGATGAAGCCAACGCTCACCCACAACATTACTAAAGTGAGGAAAATACAATCACTTATCTTCTTCACTTCAGTATGCATTTATCATAAAAAGCACTGAAGTTTACTTTTTATGATGCTTTTTTTTTCTTTCCTACTTTTTTATTTTTATCCCTTCACCTCATTTTGTACAAGCTACTGAGAAATGCTTTTCTGGTCGCATTTGTCACTGGGGAAGTGGTTCAGTTCAGTGGTTTCTGATGTAGTCCACGTTGATAAAATTCCTGTGTGGTGAAATTACTGCCTGGTGTCATTATTTTGTCACAGTCAAGAAGCACCACTGTTTGAAACCACAAGTGCTAACAAATAAATAAACAAACAAATGTTTGAGTGGGGAAGCAGTTGCTGTCCAAAATTCCAGGCTAAATTTGCAATAATGTAAAATAAGAAACAATGCTGGTGTTTTGAAATATATCGAGAACCATGAAATGTTAAAGCTGCTGCCAGTGGCTCCTTGTGGTCACTATGGTAACCTCACACTTGTGTCTGTCACTCCCTGACTACCATGCTAATGAGAGGGAGACAGAAAATTAAGCTTCAATCCAACTGTCATTGCGTAAAAAACAGAGGTTTATAGTAACTAAGTACATTTACTTAGTTACAGTACTTTAGTTTTTTTTGAGAATTTGTAATTTTACCAATTATTTTTTTAAACAGCTACTTTTACTTTTCTTTACATTTTAAAACTAAAAATGATACTTTTACTTATTACTTTAAAATATAACACCTAGTTATCCGTTACAAAATAAAATCTGTTTGAAGTCATCATGAAAGAAGATGTTTCTGCACTCTAAAAAATGAAGTGATGAATTTACTCAACAAAGTCAAGTCAACTGGCTCCACTAAGCCTAGTTGAGTAAACTGAGCAAAGAGTATAAATATATTGATCAATTTACTCAACCTGGCTTAGTGGAGCCAATTTGGTTTTAGTAAATTCAACAGTTTAATTCTTAGAGTGTGTAAAAGTACTTTTACTTTCCCAATTTTTGTCAACAGTTTGATGACTTGTAATTGAGTAGTTTTCTCATCAGTGACATTTATTTTTTTATCAAAGTCATTTTCTGTTCATGTAATTTTACTTTTGCTTAGTTATTTTTTCCATGTTCTTTATAGACCTCTGGTGAAAACTACAAGTCAAACTTTTAAATTTGATAATACAGGAATCAGGGTGTTACAGTGCTTCTGTTTGGCACTCTCTCAAAACATAACCAATTCAGACTGACAAGATTCGGACACAAAGTGGACATAAATGTGTAACACTTTCATAATTCTTGTCTGTATTTGTCAGTTTTGGTCTATTTGGGCGTGTAAATGCAAGCATGATGTGGCATTGTCTTTTCTGTTGGTGCTAAATATGGACATAGGGGTCGCTGACAGGAAGGCATCCAGGATGTGTGTGTGTGTTAAATGGAGATAGAGATGTAAATGGATATGTTTGATATCACACAGAATTCAGAGAAAGAATGAACATGTGAGTGTGTGTTGAACACCACACGTTTAGTATACGTAGTAACTCTTTTAAAAACCTCATCAGTGAAAGGAGGAAGCAGCTGAGCCATAAATAATTCAGCTTAAAACTGATGGCTTCTTGTACAAGCCTGAACAGCACTGAAACACACGCACACATTGGTTCTTCTATCCTTGTTGGGACTTTGCATTGACTTCCATTCATTTTCCAGTCAATTTTGTAGCCTTACCCTTATACGTCCTGATGCGTCTCTGTAATCCAGGTAGAGAAAAATAATAATTAATTTAAAATCGATAATTAAAAAATCATATCCTTCATTAAATATTGAAAATTCTGAATTATTCATTTCTATATTCATGCGTTTATAATCTCCAAGGGCAGACTTACATATGTATCATGGTGTGAAGTAAAAATTTTAGTGAAACCATTTAAAAGAACTTTTTGG